CGTGCCGCGTGTAGCCACGCGGCACGGGGTTCGAACAAGCCGGCATTTAAAAATGGTGCCGGCCGGCTTATGCAAATGAAGCCCGGGAAATTCAAATCCCGGGCTTCATTTGCAAGTGCGGTATGCCTACATTACCCCGCTAGTTCGAACTAGCCCGGTAGTGTAGACATACCCATAGTGTGTAAATAATTTTTTAACAAAATCAGTTTTCCCCCTTTTATATAAAAGTCCTAAAAATGTGTGTGAAAATATAATTTGAACATTATTAGTTATTACTATTGTGTATCTATTGTATAGTAGTAGAAGCCAAATATCTGAGCCATTTGCCCTAGGTACTATAGGCACACATAATATAATATAATATATAATATATAATTTATAATCCAAGCAAAAAATGAGACGTAAGTGTATATTAACAATACAAGACAAGAGGGGACAGGCAGCACACGGTTTTATAAAAATTACTCCACTTGTAAATAAATGCAGTTTAAGACTTTTATTAAAGGGCAGGAAGCCAGGGCTAAAATTTTCAAAAGGAGCTAAAGAGCAGATTTTCAATTATACTCAAAGCAATGGGAGTTGGGTGCCTAATGTGCTTAGATGCTTTTGAAAATCCCCTTAAGGACCTAAATAGCTTCAAAAAATGGCTCTTAAGCATTCCCCATTAACTTGAAATAAGATTTAGGATCCTATATACCTAAATCACTTTTTAAAATGGTAAATGGGACTTAGGTACTTTTGAAAATTTTACCCAGCACCTAGAGTCACATGATATAACCAAGGGCATGTCTACACTTGCACCCTAGTTCGAACTAGGGATGCCAATTCAAGCATTTGAAATTACTAATGAAGTGGGAATTTAAATATCCCGCGCTTCATTAGGAAGATCTCACCGGTGCGTTACTCCGAATGCCAGCTGTTCCAAAAGTGAAAGTGCACACAGGGACGCATTAGTTCGAACCAAACCCCTTGGTTCAAACTAACGTTCCTCCTCAAAAAATTAGGAGTAATGTTAGTTCAAACCAAGGGGTTTGGTTCGAACTAATGCGTCCCAGAGTGCACTTTCACTTTCAGGACAGCTGGCATTTGGAGTAATGTGCCAGCGAGACCATGCTAATGAAGCGCGGGATATTTAAATCCCCACTTCATTAGCATTTTCAAATGCCTACATTTGCATCCCTAGTTTGAACTGGGGTGCAAGTGTAGACATATCCCAAGACTTTAAGAGTCACTCCTCTGTTTAATTTATAGGGACCATCATTGCAAAGACACTGAACATTCTGTTCAGAAAATGTATATTCCTTCCTTCTTTCCCTCTCTCTCTCTCTCTCTCTCTCTCATATGCTTAAAATGTTTACCTTAGTTTTCCAATGAAACTCTCTCCACCTCGAGACAGATCAGTAGGGTCTATAGAGATGAGGTAATTAGAAGTTTTGCTCTTCTTTCGCTTCCTTCCAGCTAATAGAAATACCTAAGGAATGCAGAAAATGTCACATTCTAGAATGTCACAGAATGTGTAACACCCCATCCACCAAATAAATGGACAACATTCCTTAGGTTTAACATCATCAGCAGAAACAGTCACCTGAGACTTAGCAAAAATGGGTAAAAGCCAGCAAGGCACCGTGACTGCTTCTTCAATCCATTATTTATGGTTTAAATAATTAAACCTGATATGCTTTCTTAAATGTTTAATTCTAACTTGTACTGGCTCCTCAAAAGGAAGTGAAAATAGAAGCCTTTAAGTCTCAAAGGACAAGGAGTCTCAATTGCTAATGATTTTAGCTGCCAGACATGGATCTTAAGACCAAATAGTAAGATAAAGAATGGGAAAGTAAATATAATGTGGCAATGCACAGCATAGTACCAAACTCTCAGTTGAAGAAAATGTGTCATTCTATCAGCCACATAAAAATTCTGATTGTTTTAAATTCAGGTGCAACGGATATGTCATCCAGGAATATTTTATGACCTTTTTACCATCCTCCCTTTCCAAGTGGAGGTAATAGGTAGGGTACATTCCTCGGTCCATTCCTTTCTTGTCTCTTGTGATTCGGCATTTCACAGTGATGCCCTGGGGAGCGGGTCTCACGGCAAACTCCTCCAAATCATCAACATCTACAACAGGCTCATTTGTGGAAGGGCTGGGAGCTGAGGCTGCCTCCTAGAAGAGGAAGAAAGATCACTTCATGTTTAATTTATAATGACAAAGGAAAGACTGAAAATGCAGGATTTTAAAGAAACATGCCAGGAGCTACACTGCAGCAACAGCTTTTCTTTAACAAAAATTAGAGTGGCAATAGTATATCACATTGCCTTCTTTCTGTTCTGGTCTCCTTACACCTTTCAGATGCTGCAAAGGGGTAGAATGTGGATGCAAATGATCAGAATCTTCTTCCCCCTACCCCAGTGCAAAACTGATAGAACAGTCTCCTATGCCAACTGCACAGGACACATACTGGTAAAAAGGAATCAATGAAATCTCAGGCCATTTCACCCATCCCTTATTTTTGGAGATGTTCTTCTGCTCAACTTTTTCATTACTTGCTTGTCTGAATCCTGATATATATCACAGCAACTCTTTCTCTCAAGATGTGAAAAAAAATGTCCCTGTTAAAAACACTGTACCTTCCCTTGCAACAAACCCCGTTGCCAGCTTTGTCCACATATTCATTCTGCTGATACCATTATTGGACCTAACCAAGTGAGTTATAAGATCAAGAATACATATTCCTGCGCATCCAGAAATATAATCTATGCTATCATGTGCCGAAAGTGTCCGTCTGCTATGTACATTGGACAAACGTCTAAGACACTTTGCCAAAGGATCAATGCCCACAAAACAGATATTAGACAGGATCACAAAGAAAAAACAGTTTCTTGCCATTTCAACCAGAAAGGACATTGTCTCAACGACTTAATTACCTGCATCCTGCTTCAAAAGCCTTTTAAGACTGCACTTGAAAGAGAATCCTCTGAACTGTTATTCATGCTAAAATTCGACACTTTACGCTGGGGTCTTAAAAAAAGACTCTAGTTATCTTACCCATTACAAAGATAGCTTCCCCAATTATCACCTCTAATACCATTAGTTCACAGACATCTACCTTCCCCACCTCTAATATCATTAACTCACAGACATTTACCTTCCTCTCCTCTCCCCTGCATCCTCCTTCTGTTCTGAAATGTGATTTGTCTTTTTCATATGTGTTCACTTTTTTTTTAAATTGTATCCTTTGTTATATATGGTTGTGACTATTTTCTTCCACTATTTGATCTGAGGAAGTGGGTCTGGCCCACGAAAGCTCATCATCTAATAAACCATCTTGTTAGTCTTTAAAGTGCTACATAGTCCAGTATTTTGTCTAGAAAGAAATGACACAGTTCATATTAATCTACAGGCAACGCTTTTGCCTTCTAACCTTGTTTGATTTCTTGCTTGTTGCAGAGCCAGGTCGAGTGTTGCTGTTTAACTGGGAGGAACTTGAGCTGTCTTCGTCATCCTCATCCTCTTCATCAAAATTCATGCTGCTTGAAATGCCTGAGGAGTAAGCAAACAGGTTTATATGAAATGTGAAAAGACTAAAGCTGTACAGACCTGTCTGCAGAATACAAACTATGATTAGTATTTCTTCAATTATTACACCTAGAAGACCCAGGTCAGATTGGGATCCCAGTGTGCTAGACACTGTACAAACATATAGTAAGAGGGAACTCCTGCCCTGAGAAGCTTTACAATCTAAACAAACAAAACATACAAAAGGTGAGAGGAAAGGAAGTGTCTTCTTCCCATTTTCAGAGAGTGAGTGATTTACCCAAGAACATACAGAGCCAGGAACTGAATCCTAATCTCTTGAGTTGAGTGCTTTAAATCCGAGATCATAAAAGCACAAATCCCACAATTGTATTGGTGAGGGCAGCCCCTTGCTTTGGGACCTAAATAACTGGAAGATGCACCTCACCTTGGTAAGATTTAATAATTAGCTATTCCTAAGGTCCTATTTAATTTGTTCTATTACAGAATTTTCAGGTCCCACAATATTAGGCTTCTGCCACAATTTTGATTTTAATTCGCGTATGTCACATTATCCACAATTTTGCATAGATTTTGAGGTTTGAAACACACTCTTTTCCCCAATTAATACCAATTCGCGTATGTCACATTATCCACAATTTTGCATAGATGTTGAGGTTTGAAACACACACTTTTCCCCTGTTAATACTATTTATCCAAGCTGATGGCATGTGGGGCTTAGGCTCTCAACCCTGCGCAGGGTAGGGGTTCCTGCTGTCAGTCCTACACATTAATGGGTGTAATACAGTTTCAGCAAAATGTCTGGTTATCAAAACAATTAGCAGACACAAAATAACACTTGAATGTTAGTATTGTTCCAGCAAATTATTCTTAAACAAATAGGTCTTCTTTGTCTCTTCCAGATTACCACAATTAATAAAAGTCCATTATTACTTTTGTGATTTTTTTTTTATGTTTTGTCCACAATGCTGCCACAATTATTTGACAATAATCCTGCAATTAAGGTAGGGCCTTAGCTATTTCTGTATGATATCCTAAGGGCTGCTCTTGACGTAAGAAAAAAAACATAAAATTAAACTCTGTTTTTATGTATGTGTTTGTATGCAAAAATCAGATCCGTACAGAGGGAATGCCTTAGATCACTGATCCATTTCACAAGCAGAAGGTCTTGGTAGGTGGGGGGGGAGAGTCTAGGAAGTTTAGTGGGCCTGGTTTTCCCAGAGAGTTTTACGTAGATGAAGCCACCTTTCAGTTTTGGTCCAAATCTGAAATTACAGCTTGATTATACAATATGTTCCAAAAATATTAGTTGTTTTCCATAATTTTGGTGAAGAATTTCCACGATCGTTAATTCAAATGCTGAAGAGTAAACAGGACGATACAAAACAAAGATCCTTGAAGCCAAACAAAGAGTAGAGCAGGGTTAACTTCTTCCTTCTGTACTTACCTGGCACATGATCCAGGGCCACAAGACTGGATTGGGAGGTGGAAGTGGACCAGGATGTATTTGCATGGGGATCTGGGAAAGGAAAAAATCCATGGTCTTGGTTCTGTAAACCCTTAATCACATGAACAATCCTTACTTAACGAGAGGACAGACACAAGGCCCCACACAGCAAGCAGTATGGACTTGCTGCTCTCATTTCTGCTACCATAACTCTCAGATAGTCTCCTTTATAAAAGCCACCCCTGATTGAAGATTCAAATTTATCTTTGGCCCATGGTATCTGGTGTTGCCTCCCATTCAGTATCTGAATTAAAGGAGAATGAGCTGGGTTATAGAACTGAGGTTACAAAATGTATTAGTCGTGGTCGCATTGTAAACCTTCTGTGGCTGAGTTCTTCATTGGGAGTCTGTGGTCTCCTCTGTCATCTTCATCTGTGTGTAATTCAGTGGTACACACAGATTCAACAAGAATATTTATTCAATAAAGTAAAAGTATTTATTTTGCAGCAAGCAAAGACTGATCCAAACTAGTGCATAGACTCGAATATATTAGCGGAAATGCTTGTGACAATATTCTTAGGTGTGAATTTTGACCCTGATGGCAGTTGTGTTTGACATAGTTTTTATTTTATTTTTTCCTGTATTTTGTTGCTACTTCCAAAAACTTCAAATGCTCATCCTCTCTCAATTGCACAGAGGTCAAGTATATGCATACCCATGGCTAAGCACCCCCAAGAAATGCAACAGGAGTGGTCCCATCACTCACTGCTTTCATTCTCCCTACTTTGGAAATAAATAAAACAAAAGTGGCATCAACAGAGCACCTGCTTTTGTAGAAAAACTTGTCAGCTATATACACTGGCCACTTGAATTTCCGCAAGAACACTGACGATCTCATGTAAGAAATCAGTGCTTCTTGCGGAAATACTATGCTGCTCCCGTTCAAGCAAAAGTCCTTTTGCGCAAAAGCTTTTGCGCAAAAGGGCCAGTGTAGACAGTTCAGATTTGTTTTGCACAAAAAAGCCCCAATCGCGAAAATGACGATTGGGGCTTTTTTGCGCAAAAGCGCGTCTAGAATGCCATGGACGCTTTTCCGCAAAAAGTGCTTTTGCAGAAAAGTGTCCATGCCAATCTAGATGCTCTTTTCCGCAAATGCTTTTAAGTAAAACTTTTCCGTTAAAAGCATTTGCGGAAAATCATGCTAGTCTAGACATAGCCCTTGTGTATAAGGGAGTCAGAGCTCATAGATTAACTGGCTTTTTGGCCACATTGCAAAGACCGGTACTTACGTACCATCCTCATACATGAATACAAACTCCCTGAAGTGAATGTGATTACATGCCCCTCTTCATTCTTTGATTCTCATTGAGAACCTTAAAAGCTTTTTAAGCCAATTTTTCAAACCAGAGCCAGGAATTACAGTTGCTTTTCTAACGGATATTAAGAATGTTAGATGAGTTGGAGGGCATGACACTGAACCATGTGAAGTTAAGCTAATTAGCGTTAGCGTATGTGAATTAGTAATAACGTCCTTTGCTACCTTGGAAAATTGGTGTAGTCAACTTATCGAGTTCCTATAAATGCCAAAAGTTGAAGCAGCTGAATCTTGGAAAGGGATGAAAGACAAAGAGCTAAAATGCAGCCGCAGCAAAGTCATAGAACAAGTAGAATCTTGTGTATACCTCGGAAGCTCAATCAGTGCCAATGGCGTTATCGAGGATGAGGTTAAAAGGAAATGTTTCTTAGCCACAAGTGCTGCCTGGAAATTGATGGAATTATGCACTGTGAAAAACACTGCACTTGGTATCAAAGGGCAAATGTATCAAAGCAGTGTACTAACAGTATTATGCTGTGGCCCAGAAGGCTGGCAGCAGTAAAGATGAAATACGGCAGGTGTGAAGTGAAATGATTTTAAGATGACTGAATAGGTTAGGAGAAGAGGAGGATATTAAATCAGTGTACAGGCTTGGCTACAACTGGAAAAATTACAATGTTTGGGACGCTGCAGGTGACAAAATAAATGATAGGATGCTAATGAAAATAATTCAGACACAAACACCACCAGTCCGACCACCAATTAGATGGAAGGATGTTATACACAGGGGCATGATCAGGCTGGGTTTTATGGAGAAATAAGTCAAGCAGTGGAATGAATGACAATGTTGCGCTGTGTTCCCGCCCATGTCTGGCAAAGCAGCTCTGGGGTGGATTTAAAAAAGCATTTTTTCAAATACTGACATGCAAATTATATCCCACATTTGTGAGGGCAACCTCAGCATTCCATGGCCCATATGGGCACTGGCGCATAAAAATAAGCAGGGAGCTGAGCATACTAATATGCAGTGACATGAACAGCTATTTTATTTTAGTCTGTATTTACACCCATTGTGCATTACCCAGGTCTCACTTATGTAAGCACCAGCAAACCTTTGCTAATGTTTGAAGCATCTTTTGGAAACCTCCTGAGAATGATTTAAAGAATCTCCTGTTTCAGCTTTGTTCCCAGAAAGCAATTTTGTGTGCTGCTCGAAGTACTGCACAAATCTATTCCTTCTCTCAATCTCAAAGCAACCACAATTGTACTTCCAGCTGGCAATGAAGAATTAAGACTATTCATACTGTTCCAGTCACAATCATTACAGTGGCATTAATGAAACCGAAAAATGTGCACCTACACGTTAGATTTTTATCTGATTTTTGCTACAATCCGAGGAAGTGTGTGTGTGTCCTTCTGACTCATTCAGTGACAAGGAAGGCTCAATGTTAAAAATATCAACATCAAAAGGGCAGAATATTTCCCACAGGAAGAGAATAATTGTAGTCGTGGCACTTTCCAGCAGATGGGGAAATCAAATAAAACATTTGGCATTGCCTTGCAAGGAGACTATTGCCTCTGCGACTAATGTATTCTAAAACCTCTCTTCTCCTAACTGAAACAGACATGTTGGGTGTTCCTGGGGGAGCAGACAGGCATCTGTTATTATTGGACACTCACCACAAAGATCCTGTCAAACAGCAGAATGTTTTCAAAACAGGCCTAAGCAATTCCAGTGACAATCCGCAAGGCCTTTCCTACAATGAGCCTTGCCCTAATGTGGCTTTCCCCTTCCCCTTCCCCACCTACCCATAAACAAACGGAAAGTGGCTTATGGGCAACTACTCTTCTCAAGAGTCCCACAGGAGCATGGTTCTTTAGTGTCATGGTGACATGACTGTGGAACAGTCCAGGGAACAAGGCGGAACCACTGGGTCTGCACCTGGAAGTCGCAGCCCTTAAACAAGTGTCCCAATGGGTATTGGCACCTCCCAGGATGAAAAAGGCTTGACTAACACTTCTCCTTCTCACTCCATGGGATGGCAAACCCCACCATCCAACAAGAACATCCCAGGGAACCTCTGCTGATTGAAACCAGCTTCTGGTGCTTTGTACCCACATAGGGTTGGGAGTGAGCCACTGATGAAGCTAAATGCCAGCGACCTAATTTAAAGTCTCCTGCATAAACCTTTAGGCGAGGTGTGCTCTGCACACTACTGCTGGCAGCGTACTGGGCATGTGTCTCTACAAACAGCCAGCCAGAGAGAGAGCAGGGGAAGTCTCCAGATGCAGGGAGCTGACAGCCTTTTCCTGCCACCAATCGCCCCCAGCGGGGAGAAGCCCAACTCTTTCTCTGCTGTCTCCCTGCTGTCAGAGCCTTCCCCCACTCAGAGAAGGATAAAGGCTCCAGCAACACAGGACACTGCACTGCTAAAAGCAGAGAGAGAGAGAGAGAGAGAGAGGGAGAGAGAGATACCTATATCAGGGTACGTCTACACTTGCTCCCTAGTTCGAGTTAGGGATGCAAATGTAGCCGACCGAAATTGCTAATGAAGAAGAGATTTAAATATCCTGCGCTTCATTAGTATAACCTCGCCCGTGTGTTAGTCTGCTCAACAGCGGATTCAAACCAGGAAGTGCACTATGGGATGCATTAGCTCACATCAAACCCCTTGGTTTGAACTAACATGTCCCGGAGCGCACTTCCCAGTTCAAATCAGCTGTTGAGCAGAATAACTTGCAGGCAAGATTATGCTAATGAAGCGCAAGATATTTAAATCCCTGCTTCATTAGCAATTTCAGTCAGCTACATTTGCATCCCTAGCTTGAACTAGGGAACAAGCGTAGACATGCCCTCATAGAGCTGGAAGGGACCTTGAGAGGTCATTGACTCCAATCCCCTGCCCTTATAGTAGGACCAAGCATCACATCAGCAAACCACTGAGCTATCCCTCCCCCCAAGGAATGGCTTGGGTGCGGTGAGAACATTAGGGTATGTACTTGCATATACAGCCACACCTTAAAGGTACGTCTTTATTCTATTCACCTAAGCCAGGCCTTATCAGTCACACCACTATTTATTCCTGTGCTAGGACTACTACACTGCATGCCGCCATAAAAAATGAGCAGGGTGGGCCTACCTTTACTGCCTACCCAGCATGCCAGTTTTAACATAAAAAAGGAGACTGCCCCCAAATAATATATTCCAGTGGTTTGATACCAGTGGTTTGACTTAACTTAAACATTGGTTTATAATTAGAACTGGTTAAAATTTTCTACAGCAACATTTCCCCTAAGGAATTGTCAATTCTTCAAGAGCAAAATATTTTGTTCAGAATTTCCGATTTACACAAAATTTCATTTCCAGGAAAAAAAAATGAAAAAGTGAAACACTGCATTCTGATGTCGTCAAAATGAAACAGTTCTGTTTTTCATTTCAAAATGACTTTTTATTTGGCATTTCTTTGATTTTATATTATTAAAATGCAAACAAAAAATGTCAAAATCAGAATAAAGTGTAGGTATTTTTCAAAATGAAATATTTTGTTTGGAATTTGATTTAAAAGAAAAGTTAAAAAATGTTGTTTGCCTTCTGTTTCAGAACAGATTTCATTTTTTGTTAATTTGCAGAATTTATCAGGAAACAGAAGATTTTTTTTTTCACCCAGCTCTATGTATAATTTCTATATCAACCAATTTTTGTGAGCCAAGTGATTGGCTCAAAATGTTTGAGCCATGATTTAAGGGGCAACCAATAAGCTGGTCAGAACAGTCTCTGACATCCAAATACCCAGGGAACTTGGGAGAAATATGTGCATTTCAGGCTGCATTGCTCACATCCACAGTATGAAACTTTTGAGATAATGAATCTCAGTGAGAGCTGCTCTACAAAAAGAAGCCGGTATTTTGAAAAGAACAATCTATTCTCCACAAGTCAAGTTCTCACTTAAATTTTGCTCTTTGTGGACTATGTGTATATTTTTAAAACACCAGTTTTTCCCTACAGATTCAAAGATTGCATGCTTAAAAAGCAGAACCATGAAGGCTTCTGGAAAGCATTGTGAAGATTTTAGGATTTCTTTCTTCCTAAGTTACCACTGCTAAGAGATAACATTGTTGCAGAAAGGGAGACAGATACAGACACACACACATGATCATTTCATCCCTAGTCAGGGCTGCCCTTGAAGAAACCCAGAACATTTGAGAAATATGCTGCCAAGAAGTGTCACAGAATACACAGAAGTGTCATTTTCACCTTTAGGAGGATGAACGTAAGATGTGAATTTGTGAACTGATACTATCACCAGTTAATGTTCTGCCTTCTGATTTAAATGTGGCCTTCACAGCTCTCCTCCACCTTTTTGATGCGTAAGTGTGTGGATTTCTCTGATCCTACAAATCAGACAGTAAAATTCATGAATGAGAGCTTTCACACTTTGATTGCAATGTTGCACTGAAATATGGGAAAGCCAAGTCCCAGAGTGCACATAGGTCTCTTGCTGCATGGGCCATTGGGAAACTCCATTACTATTATGGAGGTCAAACAGCTGAGCAACAAGAGAAGGATGATGATTACTCACTGAAGGAAAGACCTCGAGTGAAATGGTGAAAGAACATGAAGACTATGTCTTAGATTAGAACCAGGCTACCCGTGGGAGTAGAAGGAGTTGCCAGACTAAAAGAGGGATAAACAACAAGGAGCATAAGTAGGTAGCTTTGGCTACTTACCCTTTTTCTGCATGGTTACTCTAAGATCCTGCCTGCTTTGTTGTCGGCCACTAGCCATTGTCTCTCCGTCATCTTCACTGTGGCTGGACTGCCCCACAGTAAGAATCTGAATTTGACTTCCTACCTCCTGAATGTCGTCTTGAAAGGCTGCAGGGCCATCAATTCCTGTCAGACAACAGCAAAGCCTAGTCAAAGAATTACTGAAAAGCTAATCACTGTCAATTCAGAAATACTTGTATGTCATCCCATCTGAGAAACACAGCTCAGCAGTCTACCGGCAATTACATTTTCATGATTAAAATGGTCTTCAAGACAAGCAATTCATTTGCATTACAAACCCTTTTGATATCTTCCCAGAGATCAGACTAGCTCTGTGACCTGGAAGAGAGTATACACAGTACTGGTATACCTGGGAGTTCATGGAGCAAAAACCGCTTGGCTTCAGAATATCCACAGCTGATGCTGCCTCAACGAATACTCTCTTTGATGCTGATGTAGAGCTTTCTGAAGCCCTAGAATCATAGAACCATAGAATACAGCTGGAAGAGACCTCAGAAGGTCATCAAGTCCTGCCCAAGGCAGGACCAATCCCACCTAAGTCAACGCAGCCAGGGCTTTGTCAAGCTGAGACTTAAACACCTCTAGGGATAGAGATTCCATCACCTTCCTAGGTAACCCATTCCAGTGCTTCACCACTTTCCTAGTAAATACTTTTTCCTAATATCCAACCTGGACCTCTCCCACTGTAACTTGAGACCATTGCTCCTTGTAGCCTTTCTCCATCCTCTTTGGAACCTCACTTCGGGAAGTTGAAGGCTGCTATCAAATCCCCCCTCACTCTTTTCTTCTGAAGATTTAACAAATCCAACTCCCTCACGGTACGTCTACACTACAACGTTAATTCGAACTAATTTAGTTCGAATTACTTAATTTGAACTAAGCTAATTCGAACTAGCAAGTCCACATTGAGTGGACCCTGAACAGGGTTTAAGGATGGCCGGAAGCAGTGCCGACAGGGCATCAGAGGAGGACTTAGAGCGTGGAGATGCTGTCTCAGGCTAGCCGAGGGCTGCGCTTAAAGGGTCCCGACCCCCACCCCGGACAGACAGTTCTAAGGGGTGCCCCGCTTGCAAAGCAGTCCTGGCTTGGATTGCCCGGAGTACCCACACTGGGCACATCACACCACTCGGCCATCAGCCTGGCTGCACTTGCCGCAGGCTGCGATCTGGGGAGAGGG